ATCATCTACCAGCCGCAGGCGGTGTTCAGGGTGCGGGCGGTAACCCGCTGCACCAGCTCCTTGGAGGGACACACCGAGGCCGTCATCTCCGTGGCTTTCAGCCCCACGGGAAAGTACGAGGGTCTGGCCGCGGGTGGGGGGCTCTGCAGCAGCCACTGTCCTTCCCTCCCGGGGGCACTGCGTTGAGCCGGGGGCTTACTCCTCTTCCAGGTACCTGGCGAGCGGCTCCGGAGACACCACCGTCCGCTTCTGGGACCTCAGCACGGAGACGCCGCAGTTCACAGCCAAAGGTGGGCGAGGGGGTGGCCTGGGAGGGCAGCTCCTGACCCCCTCCCTCAGGGGGCTCTGCCTGAGCCGCGTAGTTGAGTTGGTGCTTCGGGGAGGGAGCAGCTCTCCGACTAAGGAAGTGGAGGACGAGGGTCTATCCAGGAGGAACACGGAGGGTTCCCTCCCAGAGTGCTGCCTGGGGGCAGCTGTGTGCCGGGATGCGGGGGACAGCCAGACACAGCTCTCCACTCACACCTGCTTGTGCTCTCTCTGGCAGGTCACCGGCACTGGGTGCTCAGCATCGCCTGGTCTCCCGACGGCAAGAAGCTGGCCTCGGGCTGCAAGAACAGCCAGGTACAGGTTGGCTTCCTCAGCACGTGGCCAGGTAGCCTGACAGCCGCGCCGGGGTAGGGTCTGTGGGAGCGTGGAGACTCTCCGCAGCCCTGTTCTGAACTGAAATGAAATGCGGTGAAGGGGCTGTGGGGAATTAGGGGCAGACACTTGGTTTTTCCTGAGGCGTGGAGGGTGTATCCCGTTGTTCTGAGCAGGATTCCCATTCCCCAGAGCTTTGCATGTGGATGTGCTGTGGTAGTTGCGAGTAGCGTCTCTAAACACCGCCGGGCAGCGCTCTGGCTTCATCCCCTTTGCAGAAGTCTCGCCGCTGAGCCCTGCTGACCTGTGGCAGATGCTTTTCCCTCCGCGCAGGAAAGAGCCCAGGCCTTGGGCCTGGTCCTTGGCAGACGGCTCCGTCACGAGGGAGGTGTCTGGAGCGGGAAGGGGTATCACGCAGCCAAGCCAGGGCTGCGGTTCGCATGATCCAGACGTGCAGCGGCAGCACTCCCGCTCAGATACAGCCAAATTCCCTCTGACGGGAACGCAAAGGGGGTCCCTGCCCCTGCTATGGGGCACAGCGGGTGCGCGTAGGGTGTGTGCAGAAACGCCTGGGGAAGCGGGAGCGCTCGTGGGTGATAAAAAGTGTCAGTGACTGGCTGAGCTGCAGAGGGGCAGTTGCTTGTGCTGACCTTCTGGTCTGGGAGCGGTGAGAGTGGCTCTGAGGAAACAGGCCGGGATGGTTGTGCCCTGGTTTGGAGCTGTTCTGGCTTAAATCCAACCAAGGGAGCTGCTTGTCCTCCGTTTCCCTGTTTCTCCCAGGTTCTGAAGTAGGAGTTGACTCATGCCTTGGCTCTATGGTTTAACATTTATGTAGAGAGAGAAAAAACAAGAGAAAACCAGCATGTGTCCCACCCACAGAATCCGATAATAAGTAGCATTTAGCGCACTCTGGCTTCCATCAGGCTCCACAAACATTCACTGCCACTCTGGCGCAGGATGTCGCAGGCTCAGGCTGCCTTTTTGGGGACCTGGATCGGTTTTGAGTTGAAGCAGAGATTTTTGTAGCCACAGAAAAGGGTGATCAGGTCTCGTTCTTTGAGACGTCAGCTGATTGCTGCCGGGATCTGGAAAGGCATCCAGTCCCCCTCCCTTTCTGCTCCCTGCTGCTGCCCGTGGAGATGTGACTCCAAGGACACCCATGCCTCTAAACGGAGGCCAAACGTCCCTGGGATTCACATGATGCATGTGGCCTGACATGACCCTCTTCCTTCCTCTCTTGGATAGATATTTCTCTGGGACCCAGCCACTGGCAATCAAATTGGCCGGGCACTCCTTGGCCACTCCAAATGGATCACATGTCTGTGCTGGGAACCGCTCCACATGTAAGTGAAGGGCCGGCTCAGCCCATCCCTTTTACTCGAATGGAAAAGAGCAGCCGGACCTGACTGCTCCTGTTTGCCTTCCTCCTGGTCTGGGAAAAGGGGTGCATGCAGGCGTCGGGGAAAAATGGTGTAGCTCAGAGCCAGGAGACCCAGGCGCTGTGCAGAGCCCCTGTGAGGGTGCTGGGGCAGTCGCTGCAGGCTGGGCCTCTCTTTTCCCCCGCAGAAAAGAGAGATTTGCCTAGGAAAAACAACATTCTCATAGTGCCGGACGAACGTTTGACGTGCTCCTGCCCAGCGTGGTGAGCTGGGAGCAGGAACGCCTGCCCGCGTGGTGCCGAGCTCAGGCTCTGCGGATCATTCCCTTTCTGCTCTCTGGCATCCCGGTCGCCTCTGTCGTCCTGCTTATTCATCCTGGGGGCTGATTACCTGTGCAGTCCCCTTATCCCTTCGGTCAGCTCAAGCTCTGTTGGAGAGAAGGGTGGAGGGGGCAGTTGTAGCCAGTAAACCAAGACATTTGAGAAGTAAATGAAGAATAGTCCCTGCGGAGCAAAGCCCAGCAAATTGAATTTGCCCGTAGGAAACTCCAGCTATTTGCAAGCAATTAACTGGATTAGCAAAAACTGATTATGAAGGAGGATGAGGAAATGGAGAGGAGGAAGACGACCCTACCAGGGCTCCGCTTCTGCCTCCAGCCAGCTGCGCTCTCTGCTCAGTTGCTGCGGCACAGGAGGGGCCGTGCTCTTCCTCAGCGCTGCTGGTGCCAGGGGTCGCTTTCTTTGACGATAAAGCCGTGTTGAGGGATAAAGATGCGGCTCCCCTGGCCTTGCTGGGTTGTGGCCAGCTGCTTCCAGATGTGTTAAATTTGCCGCCCCTGAGCCGCGTGGCTGGATGTTGCAGCATTCAGCCCCGACGGCACGCTCTGTGTCAGCAGGCCGGCATGTTTCCTGCCAGAGCATGGTGTAGGCAAGGGAGCATTTGACACGTTCCCGTTGCTGCCGGTCTGTGCTGCTGGCGTGAGGCAGACTGATCCCCCTGCCCAGGCCTCGCCCCAGCCAGTGCGCAGGGAAGGTGACAGTTTGCGGTCCCCTCGTTAGCCAGCGGGTTAAAGCTGCCTCCTGTGAAAACAAGGTCGTTGCCAACGGCTCAGGTGCCAGGTTTACCCTGGATTGATGCCTCCAGCGTGCAGCCCACGACGTGGTTTGGAGGGAAGCGTCTGTCTGCCTCTCCCCTGCCTCGTGGGATCTTGTTCTCCGTGGGTCAGCGGTCTGCCCCTGCCTGGCCTTTCTCTGATCTTAAGCCAAAAGAGAAAGTTGTCTTTTATGGATTTCTGCACCCTTGAATCCTCCGGGGCTGATGGGGGGAGAGCTTGGTGGAGGAGCTGTGTGCGCTGCACAAGTGGATTTGATCTTCTTTTCACCCAGAAACCCGGAGTGCCGCTACCTGGCAAGTGCCTCCAAGGATGGCAGCATCCGCATCTGGGACACGCTGATGGGCCGGTGTGACAAAATCCTCACGAGCCACATGCAGTCAGTGACGTGTGTGAAGTGGGGGGGCGACGGCTTGCTCTACTCCTCCTCCCAGGACAGGACCATCAAAGTCTGGAGGAGCCAAGATGTAAGTGAGGCAGGCAGTCCTGGCACTGCTGGCAAAGGGGCTGGATGCTGTGGTGTAGCTTTGCTCTTCCTGGCACAGCTTGTGCCCTGGAAAATGGAGGTGCAAAGCGAGTGCTGTATCCTCTTGACCTGTCAGAGCCTGTTGCTTGACACCATTTGGAAGGGGTGATTGTGCAAAGTTTTCATCACTAAAAGCTGAAAACATCCCTGGAGTGAGCTGTGCTGGTGGGTTCCCTGCAAGGCCCTGCAGGAAATTGGTTCCTGAAGCTCAACAGCATTGTTTCTTCCCTGCTAAGCCTGGCTACAGTCCCGCCTGCAGCTTGGGCCAGAGGGTTTGGAAAGTTTAGGGTTGATCCTTGCAGCTCAATGGGTCTGATGGGTCCTGCACAGTCTGGCTCCGTCCTTTCCATCCCTCTCTAAGCGGTTGGTTTTGTTTCCAGGGGGTCCTATGCCGCACCCTGCAGGGCCACGCTCACTGGGTGAACACCATGGCCCTCAGCACCGACTACGTTCTCCGCACTGGAGCCTTCGAACCTGCTGAAGCCACCATCAACCCACAGGACGTAAGGGGCTCCTGTAAGTGCAGCACCCGCGTTGTAGGCTGGGGGAGGCGGCGGGGGGAGCAGTAAGAAGACCTGACTTCTCTTAATGCTGCCATGAGCCAAAGCAATCTTGAGAGCCGGGAGCAGGTCCTGTGCCAGTGTTGCTCGTGCTGGCAGCCATAATATTCCTTGCCCATGCACAGGGTCGAGCAGCCTGGGGGATGGGCAGGCCACTCCATTTCCAAGGGCTTTTGCTCTCAGTATCACCCTTGGCAAAGAGAGTGGGTGAGCAGTCACAAATCAGTCTCCTTGGCCTCCAGAGCTGGGTTGGTATTGGCATCACAGGGTTATAAAGTTTCCTTTCACCTAAGGATTGCAAATCTCTCTTCCTTCCCTTCTCCCTTTCCCTCTTCCAGTGGCAGAACTGAAGGCCAAGGCACAGCAGAGGTATGACCAAGTGAGGGTAAGTCCCATTTGTCCGTGCTGTGGTTTATAACACTAGTACTGGTGGACCCAGTAAATGTGCACTGTTGGCTGTTGACCCCAACACTGGTGACCTTCCAAGCTCTCCACACCTGGCTTGTACAAGACTTCCGTTCGTTCATCCTTTCCTCAGGGCCAGGAACCAGAAAGACTCGTCTCGGGTTCAGATGATTTCACGCTGTTTCTTTGGAGACCAGCAGAAGACAAGAAGCCGCTGGAGAGAATGACGGGCCATCAGGCATTGATTAACCAAGTCCTGTTCTCGCCAGACACCCGGATAATAGCCAGTGCTTCCTTTGACAAGTCCATAAAGCTCTGGGATGGTAGGACAGGAAAGTGAGTTGGTGTGTATTGTTACAGAGGTGGTGCTCGTGTGGGGTCTGCGTGTAACGCGCAGGTCACGCAGAGGTGGGCCCCGACATCACTGCCAGCAGCTCCCTGGTGTGTTCAGCATCTCTGTAGCCTGAACTCGTGCAAAGTTATTCTACTGCCTGTGTCTCTCTGCCCTTGGGAAGTCCCTTGTCCAGCCCTTCTTGTGTTACAGGGTCTGTGCATGGCTGGGTGTGTGCAATCCCGCTGTCACCCAGCCACAGCGCTGCCTGGCACCTGTGCAGCCTGCTGCAGGGTCGGTTCTCCGGGGCAGGCACAGCTGTGGTGGGATGGGATGGTGCACTCTGCTGATCTGGGCAGAGAAGTTGAGATGAAGAGCTGTCCTCTAGAAGGCTCCCAGCCCATCTGGGGGGGTTTTCAGAGAGACTGCACCACCTATAGCTCTGCGTGGTGATTGACTGCCGTGTGTGTGCTGGCTTGGGGTGTGCTGGGCATCCCGTGACTGTGTTTGCTTGCTCAGAGGTGGAGAAGAAACATAACAGCTGGGCAAGGGCAGGTTTGGAACGAACCCAGCTGCTTGCTCCTCTGACAGCTTCTTTGTGCCTCCTCCGTGCCAGGTACCTGACATCGCTGAGAGGGCACGTCTCGGCTGTGTATCAAATCGCCTGGTCAGCCGACAGCCGCTTGCTGGTGAGCGGGAGCAGCGACAGCACGCTGAAGGTCTGGGATACCAAGACGAAGAAACTGGCCATCGATCTCCCTGGCCATGCGGACGAGGTGAGGTGTCTGGTCGAGCTGAGGGGCTTGAGAGAGACAAGAATGACTCCTCCTCTCATGACTGCAATAATAACCGAGTCTTAAAAGGATTGGAGCCCGGACGGACAGAGGGTAGCAAGCGGAGGGAAGGATAAGTGTTTGAGGATGTAAGTAACCTGTTGTCTGTCCACGGAGGTTGTTGCAGCTGCTCCATGTGTCCTTCAGAGCTGTGGTCTCCTTGCAGAGACTGACAGAGTTAGGGCATGACCTCTCCTTGCAGAGAGCACGGTGCTGGACCAAATTCCAGCCCAGACACCTCACCTCCCTCGGGGTAGGAACTGCTGCTATCCCATGGGAGATGACTAGAAAGCAGAGTCCCTCCAGCTGTGCAGTCAGTGGTGAAATTTGACTCAGACATTTTGACTCCTGGAGAGGGGAAGGAACATTTGCACCAGTCAGTCAGACCCTTCCTGTCTCACCTTCCTCCGTCTCCCAGTTACGCAGACAGAAAAATTCCTGTTAGCTGGTTGCCATCTGACCACGGCTGGCGGAGGAACCCGGTCCCCAGGCTGTGCTGCTCTCATACGGTACCTGCTGGGCCGTGTGGCAGCGCCGGTGCTGGACCACAGGGACACAGCAGCTCTTCCCGTTTGCAGATGGCGTCGATAGGAGCAACGACACGAAGCCACCGGTCCCGTCCTACGCTGGCCTGCCCGTCGGCACAGAGAGAGCCTGGGAGATCTGCGAGGTGATGGATGACAGAGGCTGACCCGAGCAAGACTCCCTGTTCCTGTTGGCTGCTGTCCCTCATGGACTCTTTCCTTATATTTATTTAAGGAAATTTTAATTGTAGTTCTTACGAGCTGTGCTTTGCAGGATGATTTCCTCTGAGCATTACAGGAGAGATACCTCATCTGCTTCCATCTCAACTGGCTTTTTATTGAAATTTCAGCCTTGTAGTAGCCTTCCCCCTCGAAGGGGACAAGCGAAGGGTGGGGACAGCTCATGCCCTCTCTTGCTGTGTGAAGAATGCTGCGGGAAGGAGGCTTTTAGAGGGAACAGAAAGGGTTGTCGTTGTGTGACCTTCAGAGAGGGAGAGAGGAAGGGGAAAATCCAGCACATCATTACATTGCAGAATTGTGCTTTGCTGCATGCGTGGGACCAAGATCTGCTGAGAATAAGATCTCGGGGCTTCTCGTTATTCCATTAAGCTTTTGCTTTCCCACTCAGCCCATTTCCCTGTGGGCTGTGCCGTGCATTATCTGCTAGTGATCCTCTGCATCCACAGCAGGTAACTCATTCACTTCTCCATTCAGGGTGCAACAGGCATGGACTTCCGACGGCTGCTAGAGCTGTGCTGAGTTTCCAGGTTTCAGTGACTCTTGGAAATGGGGAAAGTGAGGTACTTGTGCCTCTGAACGGGGGACAGAGCATCTGTTTCCTGTCCACTGCCGGCTCAGGGGGAAGGAAGGAGCAGGCATTTTGGGTGGTGTTTGTCCCTTGCCCTGGATACGTGCTGACAGCGCGGCAGGGACTGTCACAGTAAATGGCAGAACTTCCATTGCACAGAGTTGGCTCCTGGAAGTTCTCAAGTGCATTTACTTGCCCAGTGGGTGAGAGTGATTCAGTCAGTTAGGTATTTGTGACCTTGCTTAGGAGCCTTTTTATAAGTTGGCTTGGGCTTCCAGCAGTCATGAGGCAAATAGACCTGGATTTGGTGTTTATTTCCACGATGCAAGAAACAATGAAAATCAAGATGTGATTAATAAGGAACAGAGATTATATTGTCAGATTTAGTCACAGCAAGCTAGTGTGAAGACCAAAACATTCTCTACTTGGTGATTACTACAACTCAGAACTGGAGTTTGGGTCTCAGGTGCTTCCTAGCTGCAGAAGGTGCATTTTAGGACTTTATTCCTGCCTGCAGGATTGCTTTGGAGAGTTAGGAGGGGATGGCGCAGTAATGGCCATTTGCCTGTCTGCAAGTGTTTTGGTGAGCAAAAGACTGGAACAAAGGGTTAAATCCTTACTATGACTAAGAACAATTTGTGGTTCCTGTTGTTAGTATCTCTCTCTGGTAGCCAAGTCAGCAGGTTCTCTCTTTGTGGGATCTTTTGGGAAGAACTCAATATCCTGTACCTGCACTTTCACTGATGTGCTTCCTCCAGCTGGTTCTTGCTGATGGTGAAGGCCATGTTGCGTCCATCTGCATAAACAAAACCTTTCGTAACTCGCTAAGGTTAATGTTGTGGGACAGGGTGATTTAAAACTGTAGCTGATAATTCTGCCTCTCCAGACTGCCGTGCCCTTGGGAAGGAGAGGAGCACACGTGCAGCTGATGGATCGCTGGTAACAGCCGAGAAGCCCGTCCGTTTTGCAAGTGTTTTGGGCTGCCTGTGCTGATGAAACAATCCACCTTTGGGAGTTCAGCGCTGCGTTCCCTGGGTTTGACTCGCTGAAAGCAGCAGCTGCTGCAGCTCCTGGTAGTACGTGGCTCTGAGGCATCATTCTCTGCTTCCTCTCCCAAGTGCTGCGGAGGGTCACCATGCCCTGTTAATCCATGGTGTGTTTTGTGTTAGAATTGGGGATGTATGGGAGCAGGGTGAATTAATCCTGCCTGCAGGGACTGGCTTGGCCGTGCGTGTGTGTACATTTACCTAAAGAGCGCTTCCCTGTCCACTCGTTTCCAAACCAAAGCCATCGCTGTGCCCCCTGGCTGTGCTCCTAACTGAGGCTGGCTCCTGCCATCCCTTCAGACTGCTGCTGTGATACCAGGAACCGAACAGAGCCTGATTAAAACCCACCTTCCTAATGCTGGAGCAGGCTTTTCCAGAGCAAAGTGAAGAGAGGGCCTTGTAAGTAAGTTTACACCAGAACAGGCTGTCTCAGCCTTCATCTTTTGTGACCTGACAATGGGTAGATTTTGAACCACATTATGTGATGGGTTTGCATGTGGACCAAATCATATTTACCTATCTAAGCAGCTGCTACTGCTGGTTTTATCATTCATACAGTACCAGCCTTCATGCATACTAAGTGCTGGCCCTGTTCCAGCTGTATTCCTAAGCGTTCCTGTGACACTCCTCCCGGTTTTATTTGAATGCGGCATTTCCCAGGCCTCGCTCTGCAGTCTCCTGCCTGCGTTCCCGCCCTGGGGAGCGGCTGCTGCCCTTCACTTCAGGGCTGGCTCCTTTTTTGTCAAGAGGTGAAGCGAGTGTGCGACCCCCCCGCTCTCCAGGTGATAGCGGTGTGAGCTTTAATTAGCTCACTTTTTGAAATCAGATTTGGGTCAGTGGTGGTGTTAATGGGGAAGACGTTAATTTTTTGTTAAAGGACAGATTCCGGAAGGCAGGCTGGAGCTTTCTGATTGCTCTTCTGGGCACTGCAACTCTAACCTTGCAAAAAACCTACTGAAACACCTGAGCTTTCCAATCCTGTGTGGTAGGAATCTCGGTATCTGCTGCTGTGTTTCAATCCAGTTTCACTAGAGTTACTCGTCCGACGTAGCACACAGGTTTGCCTACCACCAGGGCATTAGTTCTCACTGATAACCCAGGAATAATTTTAAGCCTATCCAGACACTGTTGGGCCCTCTGACACTTTCTCCTTTAAAAGCCGTGATAGCTCAGCTGATGCCACCATTAATTTTCTTACAAATCCCCAACGGGAGGCCAGTGACGATAAGGGCTGGGAAGCATGCCAGTCCTCTGAGAAAGGTTTACCTGTCTCATCAATTCCTGAGGATGATGGAGGGAGGGAGGGAAGGAAGAAGAAAATTGTAAGAACACCTCGAGTGATCGTTTGGGATGGTGCTGAGATGAGCAGGATGGTGCCAGTCTCCTGCTTTTGGGGGCAGATTTAGGTAAGTGGGGGCCTTAACATCCTTCTGAAAATTGTTCTCAGGGCTGTGTGTTCTGCTTATCCACGCAGGAGGGACAGGCAACTGGTGTACGCGTTGTGCTCCCTGGGTCTTGGAGCCACACGTTCATGTCCTGCTCGACTCCACTGATCTCTTGATTATTTTCCCAGTTCAGTAACTTAACTCCCATGTACATGTTTATAGCCTGGGGAGCAATATAAGAATCTTTCGATGAGCAGGAAGAAAATAATCCTCGTTCATTGTTCTGCATGAACATTAGGAAAAGCAGTTGTCTTTCTGCTTGTCTTTGGGTCAAGCCAGGCGCTGTTTAGGTGACATTTCTGCCTCAAAGGGCTGCGTTTTGGAGGTACGGCAGCAAAGGGCTTGCTGTGAAGACCATTAGCACTTTGGAGGATGAAAGGGGCTGCAGAAACTTGGAACAGTGATGTCTGTATTCTGGGGGAGCTGCTGCCAGATGAAAGTGTACTTTTCCCTGTGTACTCAGTCAAGAAGCCTGGAAGGTGCTAATTCCTTCCCAGATCTGTTGCTTTTGTGATCACGAGTCTTGCCTCGCATCCGGGGGACTAATTTGGCTGAACCAATGTGGTGTTGCTGGGAGAGAGCCACAAACCCATCTCCAGTGCTGCTGTTCTGTGTTTTCTTCACTCTGACGCCGTGAATCAGCGGTGGGTGCCGAGCTGTAAGTCACTGGTGGTCTGTGTCAGTGGGCTGCATAGTACAGTGTTCAAAATAAACTGGGGAACAGTACTCTGTGCCTTTGAAGGATCACTGTGGTCAGTTAGGCATGGTACTAGTGCCTGCTGCCTTGCTGGTTTTTGAGCACGCTGGGTATTTTATCATCCTGATGTGTGGTTTGTCAGAGCAGAGCGGTGCATCTCTTCCCAACATCCCTAGTAATGAGGCTTCCTTTGGGAAGGGCGGACAAACGTGGTCCGCTCAGTCCCTGAGCTCTTTCAGCAAAAGCAAGTGAAGGTGCTGTTTGTAAATAGGTTTATTGTAGTCCACTGGTGCTGGAAATATCAACACCTAGAAGCTCTCCCAGAGACTAATCAAAGACCCAGCTCAAACGAGTGACCTGCATGCAAATCCCGCAGCCCTTCGCCAAGCGGTTTTCCAGGCCTCGGCCCTTCAGATCCCGTTTGAATCCCAGTGCGACGGCAGTGTGTTTAGTTATTCTGGTCAAATCTCTCAGCTGCTCCTGGCTGTTTTGTCCTTGCCATGTGCTGAAACAAACCTGCTGGAGGGCTCCATCCCCTTTGTGAAGACAAAAGAGCATCAGACGTGCCGCTGC